GAGTAACTTTTTGAATCGCTACTCATTATTTTGAAGTTTTGTGGAGATATAAGGGGGCTAAAATTCAATACATTATTCTGAAACATTCGGTATTCTGAAATTTGTAGTATTGAAATATTTTTACATTAAACCAATGGACATTCGGAGAGGAATTTTAGTAAATGATGTTCATCTGAAAAAAATGTTAATCTGAGGTTTGCTACAACGAGATTTGACTGTAATAAGTACTTGCAAGTGAAGTGCCCAATGACCCAAGCGTTCCAACGAGTCTTGCAAGGTAGAAAGCTCACACAGAATTTGGTGGTCAGTAACAACGTCAAAAGGATGGGACAACTGTAAGAGTATAAGCAAAGCTTTGTCTATGCCCAAATTCTTGCCAGCAGCCCGTCCCTGTTAAAGAGTTATTTAATTCAGCCTTCTTCAGAGCTTGACTAACATAAGCAATAACGCATTCATCTTGGGTGTCTTTTCGTTGTGCCAAAACTGCACTGAGAGACGAAGTGAATTTCCATGAAAGCAGTTCGGCCATAGTGGCAAAGTATAGGTGGTGAGGTCAACAGGTAGCACAACAGACGAGCTGCGTCATCCTATTTAGGTGACCATGCAGATATACCTTTGCAGGGGGGGGTAAGCAGACTCTTCAAAAGTGTGACGACGGACACGAAGCTATCTAAGAAGTGATAAAAACAGGAGCATAGGCCGAATAAAACTTCTGAGGACTTTGATGGAAGTAGGATTTCGGAAGTCTGGAACAGCTTGATGCTTATTCGGATCCTGGAAGAATGCTGTCTTTTGTGATGACATGCCCCAAGATGGTTAGCTTCCACACAACAAAGTGGCACGCACTTCCTGGTGTTGAGTTGTAGGCCTACCAAAGTGAGGCATGTGAGAATGTTGTGCAGACGAGCAAGGTATGTCTGTAAATCTGTTGAAAAGATGACTATGTCACTCAGGTAACAGAAGCACTTGTGGCTTTGAAGGATGGTATGGATCATGTGCCCAATGTTACAGGTGTATCGCAGTGCCCAAATAACAAGACGTTGAATGCGTATAGACCATCAGGCATTACGAAGGCTGTTTCAGGGTGATCGCAACCAGCCATTATTACGTGCCAATACCCAGAACACAGATCCAAGAAAGTGAAGTACTCGGCACCTTGTAAGCAGTTATGAGCATTATCTATCCGCTACCATGATTAGACATCTTTTTCTTTTTTCGAAATCTTGTTTAAGTGGTGATATTCAATGCAAAATCAAATGGAGCGATATTTTTTCTTTGTCAACACCAAAGGTGATGAGCAAAGACATTGAGAAGGCTGTATTATTCCACATTGAACAGGTCATCCACTTGCTCCATAATAACGTGGTGCCCTTCGGCGGAAATGCACTGAAGCCGCTGTCGCAAGGGCATGTGTGAACAGGTGTCGATGGTATGAGTCATGGTGGGGCCGAGCAATGTTCTGTGAAATCCAAAAGAAGTGGTTAACCTGTCAAGAACAAGAAGCAGTTGGCGGCGATGAGAGAGGGAGAGATTCGCGCCATGGTAGTTTTGAATGTTGACGAACTTGGTAGCTGAGATGCAGGGGTGAATGCATGAATGCAACAACTGGAAGAGTCAGTGGGAAGATCCTCAATGTGGTTGACAGATTGTGCATACCCTAAAGTATCAGCATGAAGTAAGGCAATGGGGTATTTGCAGTGGTTTGTGACCAGCATTCCGGTTTATCCAGATCCAATGGTGAAAACGGCATATGGAAGAACAAAGCCCTTGCACTGCGTAAACACTTGAGACAACGTAACCACTACTTTGGTGTCAGGTTGAGTAGTACACGTAAGGGTAATAAGGACTAAAGCCTCGAGTGCAAGTTGGTCTCGGCATGAACAATGAGTTTGCTGGTGAGAGGGGAACGATCGCACATCGAGAATTTTCATGTTAGCACAAGGGACACTTGCGCACGTGAAGAATCGATGACTGCTGGATGACTTAAAAAGATATCTTAACCGAGGATGAGATCATGAAAGCAAAATGGCAGAACAAAGCATTTCATGATGTACATAATGTCTTACAGCTCAATGCACACCATACACACAGCTCATGGATGTATGCATTGTGCGCTAGTCGTGGACAGCACCATGCCTGAGAGATGTCACTTTCTTGAGTCTTCGACAAAGGCTCTCATTCATCACAGAAACAGTGGACCCGGTATTTATATAAGTATATAAGCGCTAGTGTGACAACTGCCTCAACATCAACATCAATAATAATTTGCGACGAAAATCTAGGCCTTGAGAATAGCGAAGTTGCAGTCCTTGCCACAGAAACTCCACCGATTAGTTTCTTGAAAAGGAGGTCAGCAACGTATAGGCGATGGCGAGCGATGGTGATCTCAGTCGAAGTGCCTCTGCCAGATGCGCATGTGGTGACATGTTGCGGCTTGTAGTTACGCGTTCCGAAGACAGCGTATGCAGGTGCTGGATGATAATTGGGCATTGATGAAGTTTCACCTGTTTCTTAAAGGTTATCTGACTTTCCGCAATGAAAGTGTTATTTTATTTTTACTTTGCACTGTTTAGGTATATAGTTATTTGTGCTGACATAATGAACACATCACCCCATGTACTCATCTGTATTTTTTCCCTCTACGGTGTTCAGTTCTATATTATGCGAATGCAAAGCACATGTGTTTTTTCTTTTCTATAATTATATTTTAAATTATGTCCTTGCAAATTACATAGAAATGTATTCCCACCCCTAATATGTCCCCTTACCAGAGGGTCTTTAAGGTAATAAAGTGAAGTGAAGTGAAGTCTTCTTGACCCTGTTACTAACCGCCATGCTCTCGCAAACATCGCACAGGCTCTCATACAATCACAGCACTGGTCTTTCGACCTTTTTCACAGGTGCATACCCATTGGTGCGTCTGCTCCACTATAATGTATATAATGACATAAATTAAATTACCATTTTTATTCACGTAATGAACCCTCTCCCACTTTAGTCTTTGAAAAAAGGAAAAACTTTTTAAATAGTATTTGTTCATTTTACTTCGGTATGACAGCCAGTGCCATTGTCGATCAAAACAACATTAAATCAAGCCATTATATAAAAAAAACAATGCAATAAACGTCAAAACTTAGTTTTGCAACCATGCTAAGCAGTTATGAGCAGTGCGAGCGCAGACGACGTCAATCAAAATTTGATAGTCGCATCATTTGTGGGGAAGCGCGATCTCTCCAAATGGAAGAGAAACCTCTTTGCTGATAGCACCAAGCAAGCACAGCAGCACAAAAACAAAGCAAAAAACATGGAGGAAAGAATTGCTTTCTGCGTAGCAAAAAACACCATGGCAAAAAACAAGGCACGTGACCTCTGAAATGGCGCGCGGCGTAGAATCACGCCATGCGCCCGCCCTCTCGGAGACCATGCAAAGCCCAACCACACCCACACCGCACCGATGATGCATTGTGCACCTGCAACGTCCACTGCAACGTTTATGTGCCACTACCTGACGCTGCATTTTTGTTGTCGAGTTTGTTGTGAATTTAGTTGGGACACATGGTGCGCAAGACACATTAGGCCAGTACGCTAGCTGCACGGCTGTTAACAAACAGCATGTGCTGGAGCATTGGAACCGAGTGGCTGGACGACACTTCAGTGTCGATCAGTGCGCTTTCGTTACAGGAGGAAACAAAAGTGACTTTTTTCTCCCGTGTAATGAACCCTCCCCACAGATTGGTGTTACCTTTTCTGAAAAAAAGAAAAGTGGGTTAATTACGCAAGTAAATATGGTATTTAGTTTGTGCAGCGACACTTATGAAAATGGGGTGACATACATGAACTAGTCTCACAAAAGGCAAATATAAAGCTCAAGAAACTGGAGGCCACGAACAAGGTTACCATAAACATCTCAAAATATGATGGCGGATAGGAAGGCACACATTAATGTCCAAATTTTCAAAGACAAGTTCAGTACTTCTCCACAACTTATGCTAGCATTGTTGTTCAGTATAGAAGGCTTTCAATGGAACTCTACATAGGCAAACACAAGTGAAATCTATTTAAGATAAGTTTTTCAGCTCACAGACACATCTTTGAGGTATGCCCTCTATCTCGTGCATGCAAATACTGAAGGTGCGGGCTCCAATCCCTACCATGACGGCCATACTTCATTGGGGAAAAAATGCAAGCAGACCTAAAAGATACTGTGACTTACGTGCACTTGAAAGAACCCCAGGTTGTCAAAATTAATCGGGAGTCCTTTGCTAAGCATAAATGTATGGTGATTTCAGGTACTGCAAAACTATAAAGATTATTATTATTCAGCGCAAGAACGACTTGATTTTCTTGTACTTTCAACTTTGGCTGATGAAATTTATTTATTTTATTTACTTACACAATACTGCAGGCCTGAAAAAAGGGGCCCAAGAAGAAAGAAAAAAGTGATTACAGGTATGCATCAAGGCAACTTACACAAACATTCCTCTGTGTGAAGATCACATACTTAGTAAATAAGACTAATAGATGTAAAAAAACAATAACATGAAAATAAAGAAGGCACTAACTATATAGCGATTATTAAAAAATAGCACAGTGAAGTGTAGGCAACAAAAGTAACAACACAGTTACATGTAAGGTTTTTAAACACTTGAAGTACAACCATGTTGTCAAAAGTGTGTCATACACACAATTCACAAAATTTAGTAAAGCATTTTTAAGACTTTGTTACATTAAGACTATGGCTAAGAGAGCACAAGATAACTGACTACTATAAATAATGGCATGTCAGCATAGCATTACTATGGTAAAATTTGTGTTCAGACGTCAGCATTAGATAAATGAACAAAACAAATGTATTTTAATGAAGTGGCAGTTATTGCAAGGTGAGCAAAGCAAGAAGGGCTTAGTTTGAGGACTTTTTGCATTTAAGAAACATCCTGCATTAATCTATTCCATGATTGAAAGATTGATTCACATGATGGTGCCATTGCAGTCGTACTTACTTGTTGACCAAGTCTTGCAATTTCTGCAATGGATCTGGCTCCCCATCTCGGCCGAAAGACATCACATCACTTGCACTGTAGACACGTATTATACGGTCCGCTGTGTTCACCAGGAAGCAGCTGCGCAGAAGTGGATTTATTTATGGCTTATGCACTCTTCAGTACAAAGGCCTCTCCCAACAATCTCCAATTTACCCCAGCTGATGATTCATTGCCTGCCTGCAAACTTCACGATTTCATCACTCCATCTAGGCCACTGCCATACATGACTGTGCTTCTCATCTCTCTGTACCCACTGCGTTAAACAACCTCCCGTTGCATGAACTGCGTTTTCTTCTTAGTGTCAGCTGGAACGTCCCTTCCTCCTTTACTATCTTGTAATGTAACACCTATCACTTACCATTCCAACGCATATTGCACGGCTATTCACACGTTTCATTGTTATCCTTCAAGTTACTTCACTGCCCCCAGATGTCAGTACCACACTGACCATATACGATGGTTGTGCACTTTATGCTTTAGAGACAGCAGTGAATTGCTTGTAGTCATTTGAGAATGTGTGCCATAAGCACAAGCAGTTAATCAACTGAGAACATAACAGGCAGCACAAAGTTCACAAAGGAACAGAATAAGCAACTTACTCGCCCCGTCTAGCAAATTCGATCGACTTGATTGCCTGTAGTATTGGATGTTCCAGTGGTGACTCGAAATGATGCCTTCACTTCAAGATCCGGGACTGACACGACAAGTATCTGTGACAGACATGTGAAACACATAGGGGCATACGTCAGCATACATCGTGTCAACTGCCTCACTCAGATCGAGCGACAAGTCTGAGAGTGAGTGAACAATGTTATGCTAAGCTTGAGTATGAGTGAGTCCAGGTGAAAAAAAAAAAAAAAATGGAAGCCCACATCCAAGAGAGCCTGCTTGAAGAATATTTTGGTGAGTCTGAGTCTGAAGCTAGGCAAAATATACTTAGTTCATAAATATGCTTCAGTCAGCTCCACATTTCTCGCCAACCTATGAGTATGGGCAAAGGCCTCAGTTTAATATAGTAGTGTGCTTCCCTCTACGAAAATAACTGTGCTCCTACTTAGGCGCAACGTAACCTCTTAAAAAGACTTCAAGGGCACTCTAGCTGTGCCTTCAAGGGCAGAACATGAAGGCGTAATAGGGACCAGTGCACATCCCCGTCTCAACTGCTACAATGGCAATTCTAGACTGGCTTCAGTTCTCAGTGTATGCCTCAGTCATGCCGTAAGGAAACAAACAACAGCGCAAGTAACAATAGCCACTTCAAACTACATTCTCAACTGCCAACTGCGAGTACAGCTGTTAAGTGCGAGCTATACTGTAATTCTTCCTTTGCAAATCAGCAAACTACATGCAGCTGCTGTCTTTGTAGATGTTTTGCAACAAATGATGATTAAATATATCTTATTGCTTTGTAATAGGTGAGCTTTTAAAACACCCACTTGTTGTGCAATTCGTATGTCTTGATACATAGCACGATTCAACACCGCTTCTGCCACGAAATATTACATGCATTAAAAGTCAACTCCGGCAATTTCTCGAAGTCAATGGATCTCGATGGAATTCATTGGGTCAATCCATTTACACGTTTCCATAATTTATGCCAAATTACAGGCTTCAGAGTCTCGCAAATAGTTTTCAATTTAATATTGCTTCAAAATGCTCACCTTCCTTGCCAGAAATATTGGCAACATTGTGTGTGTGACGTCAAGCTCGGCAAGGCGAGGAAACTTGGGTGCCACTGCAGTGTCTGTTTGTCTGCTGTAGATCGCGCGCATTTGGCCGGCGCATCCTCGTTCGAGCATGCAATTTTCTTTTCCTTGTGGGCGGGTGTGCGATGGGAGACAAGTGGTATTGCATTGTGGGCCGCACACAATGACAGCCGCTAAACACTAGCAGTTCATCCCAACACTTCGTCTCGATTGTAGGCTGTTTCAGCTAGTGATGTCGGCTTACCGCATGGAAAGTATGGTTAATATTATGCCTGTTATGCCCTCTTTTCTTATGCCCTCTTTTCATGACAATTTTAAAGATTCTTAATTTTACCACAAATTCCTTGGTGTGAGCATATTTTAGCTCGTTGCCACAGCCACAAGCTTGGATGGCCTGGATGAGTGGTGTCATCTGTCGCCATTATGCACAACCAGGCAAGGAGATGCAAAAATCTTTTCTGTTTCATCAAAGGATAACGGTGATGCTCATTGACCTCCTAATGTGTCCGAATCGTAGCTGTCAGTATCTAAATATGGTGAGGTGCAGTCACCTATCCGCGAAACACATGAAGTATCTGCTCTTCCCAACCTTGCAGGATTTCCAGTTCTTACCAAGTAATACGTCATACGTAGGCACTACACTGTTTGGTTTCCGTAATACACATTTTTGCTCATTAAACATTATTTTCGAAAGCTGAGCATTTCAGCTCACAGGCACGTGACAAGAGTGTCTCAGGAACATAAAAGCACGATTACCCTGACATAGTAAAAGATAGCCGGAGTTGGCCTTTAAGAAGAGACTCCTTGAACATAACATTCATATAACATTCTTTTCTAGAACAGTTACAACAAATGTTGTAGCTCGATGATACAACACTGGCTTGCCATGCAGACAGCCTGGTTTTGATTCTCCTGTGAACCAGTGACCTTTCATTATTTTATTTGCACCTTTCTCGATTTTTTAGTCACAAACAAGATGATTATTTCACGCTCACAGCCAACGATGCTGACACCGGCACCTGTGAAACTAGGTCTTTAATGCTACCAGGTTAAAGGCATAGACTGATGGCAATAGAAAGAGTTTGACAGAGATGAAAGCTAGCACTACTTGCACTTTGGTGGTGACATCTCTTCAACCAGCTTCTTCATAATAAATTGCCAACTAGCACAATTAATAAGGCAACTGGAAGAAGTCTTGCAGGCTGCTGCGACGTCATTAGTTTTCTCTGGACCAGCCGAAATGCCCGATATTAGAGAAAATGCAATGCAAAATGACAAGAAAGCAATCTAACTTAAGAAAAAATGAAAGTTATAGAGAATGATTAAGCCTAACTACTACAAGCTATGGTTTGCTGCAGTCTGCTACTTTTGAAGAGCACCAGTGATGTTTGAAATGTACAGTTCCCAGTAAACTTGTTTGTTATATGAGTTCATATATACTAGCAATTTCATACATTCTCAATCAAGCAGAAATATGTAGGCTAGTGTGGAGAATGAGAATATTCCAACAAATAATACAGTATTCTAATTTGCTTCAAACAAAATTTGGGAAATGAAAATTTCAAATTATTCAAAACGAGCAAATAAATGCGTATCAGTCTGCATGTAAAGATGGTTTCAATACAGGTATGTTGTGCTAAGCAGTGAAAGCACCTATTCAAGTTATTCAAGTGTACTCTAGTTAGCATGCGACTCCCTGCAAAAGTATTTTGACTGGAATGAAGTAAGGCAAAGCCGTGAAAAAAAAAGGCATAAAAAAAACTTGCACTGCCGCAAAGCCCCACTTAAAGGTTAAATGAGAATGTTACCCTCACATCAATTCATTTTTAAAGTTTGGAGCTTGATACTCTTTAAAGCCGATCTTCGCAAGGACTGACACTTTTCGCTACTCCTTTTTCCCAAAAATTATTGCTGTTCGGAAAAAACTAACAGAAGCATTCCCTGAATGCCCGTTACCGTTTGAGCAAATACTGTTGTTCTTTTATTACTTCCTTAGAATTGTATCATGACCAAGTTGTTAAATTGCTTTTTTTTTGTCTTACAACTAAGAACATTTTATAAAAAAACACTTTGCAACCTAGTTTTCTGTTATTATTATGTATTTTGCTCACCCTGCTTGGACTTTTTGTCCGCAGTATTTTACAAATAAATAAAATATATAAATACCAACTTATATGCTTTAAGTATGGCAAACTTTAAAACGTAACATATTTTACAGGGCTATCAGTTGAATTTATTCGAAGTGAAATCCTCGTACTATTCAAAGTTGTTTCCACTTCCTTTGACGCAAAAGAATGGCATTTGCACAGACCTTTTTTAATTTTTTTATATTGTACAGGTTAATAGGTCATGACAAATTTGTCCATTTTTTTATAACAGTATGTGATATATATACTATTCGATCAAAATCACCATTCACTTCGAATTGACTTTGAATCTAAAATTCATTATTTGCACAAGCTCAGAAATATAACAAGAAGCCAGACTGAAAACTTAGGTGTCTGGATCGAAGAATATTTCAGTTTTAACATGACCAGACACTTGGCAAGTGAGGAAAGGCAGATAAACAAATGAGATGTAAATGACTAAACCAAGAACTACAGCTTGTGAAGCCATCTTTAAACAGCTCACTAATTACCACTGCATCTTCTACTCCAGGCTGCACAGTTTCATGGAACTAAATAAAGACAACCGACTTCAAAGACAGCTAACAACTCTTCTTGGCTTCTTCATTCTGGATAAAAACTGTGTCATATTAGGGCACTGCACCAATAGCAGCAAAACTAAGACACAGAAAGGAGAAGCTTGTGACGAGAAAAATCTGTAAATGGGTGGTGTGCTTGAGCCACAACCCTGGCTCAAACACATAACACGAGTTTGAAAGTTTGAAAGTTTATTGAAATTGATTGGTTACAAATGGTGGTTACAATGGGGTTTACTACTGATACAGAGGGAGGTCCCAAAGTCAAGAGACTGTACAGGGGACCTCCCATAAGAGCTGAGTAAACAAAAGTACTTTAACGCAACAAAGATGTGTACACAAAGTAAACACTCAAAAAGAAGCAATTAACACTGAAACATCGTTGGATTATTTAAAAATTACAAAAGAAAGCAGAGATGATGAAATGATGAAATGACTATGCTGAATGCAGATAATTCCGAAGGTTGATTTTGAATGCGTGGAAATTGGAGATATTTTTAACATGGCATGGTAATGAGTTCCATAGTTGTGTGGCTGAAAAGTTAGTAGTGAACTTACCATAATTAGTTCTGGGTTTCGGTAATAAGAAGCTATTGCTGGATGCGAAACGTGTTGACAAAGAGTAAGGATACTGGCTTTTGATGATTATAGGGAACGGGAGCTTTCCGCTGATGGATTTGTGGATTGGTATTGCGAGGGAATATTTATGTAGTTTTCCCACCGACGGAATACCGTTAGAGGTGAGCAAAGGCAATGCTTCTGATGTGTAGGTGCTATGTGTCATGATGCGAATAGCCTGATTTTGAGTGTGTTGCAATGGAGATAAATGGACTGGATACGTGTTTCCCCATGATGATATGCAATAATTAATATATGTATGAATGAAAGCGTAATAAAGGGATATTAGTGTGTTCATATGGAAAAAATTGCGAACTTTAATTAATATCCTAATGCCATAAGCTGTCTTCTTTGTTAACGATGAAACATGCTCATCAAATTTTAGGTGCTTATCTAATGTGACTCCGAGAAACATGACACTGTCAGTAGGAAAAAGTGTGTTTGAAGCGAAAGTTAAAGATGGTGAACCTGAATAAATCCTATGCTTAGAGGAAAAGATGACGAACTGAGATTTTGTAGCATTTATCTGTAGTTTATTTTGCCGGCACCAGGTAACTATGCTGTCCGCGTCGTGGTTAAGCTTGTAGATTAATGAATCAAGGTGGTTATCTGAGCAGAAAATAGTAGTGTCGTCAGCGTAAAGAATACAGTCAGATGATTTTAGGCATTGTGAAAGATCATTGATGTATATTAAAAATAAGAGAGGTCCTAATATTGATCCTTGCGGTACCCCAATGTTACTTGTTTTAGGGTGTGAGTAAGTGTTAGATATAGACACAATATATTCTCTATCTTTTAAGTAGTTACGTAGTAATTTCAGTGGCGGGCCTGTTATTCCAATAGACTCTAATTTAGCAAATAGTATATTGTGAACAAGTGAATCGAATGCTTTAGATAAATCAATAAAGAGCGCCCCAGTCAAATTACCTGCATCAATTGCCTGCCGGATTTTATCTGTCAAGTAAATTAATGCTAAATCAGTTGAGTATCCCTCCCTAAATCCAAATTGATTTGTTGATAAGACATGAAATTTTGAAAAATAGGAAGACAAGCGTGTTACTATTAGTTTTTCAACAACTTTGCTAAAGAATGAGAGTATAGCTATAGGTCGATAATTAGATGTGAGACGCTTATCTCCCTTCTTGAAAACAGGAATTATTTTGGCTTTCTTCAAGGAGCTTGGAAAAATTCCCGTGGTAAAAATAAGGTTTACTATGTGACAAAATGTTTCAGATATTAAACTTGCTATGAGTTTTATGAGAGAGGGGCGGAAATTATCAATACCGGGCCCGGTATTTTTTAGACTAGAAATGATAGTGACTATTTCTTCAGGTGTCACGGGGTGAAGGAAAAAGCTGTGAGGCATGCGTGGGTAAGGCTGGGTCAGAGGATCGTCTTCCCGTTGCTTGTCTGTACAGAAGAAGTTAATAAAAGAGTTAGCAATATCTAAGGGGTTATCGAGAAGTAGGTCTCCCGATTTTATCATTGTTATTTCGCTATGCTGGTTGGATCTACCCAAAAACGAGTTTAAAATTTCCCACTGTTTTTTTACATCATTACCGGCACACTTAATTTTATTTTCATAGTACTGTGTTTTGGCATGTTTGAGTAGTTTTCCTAAACGATTAGAATATTTTTTATACCTATCATGAAGCGCAGTATTGAACGGTTGTTTTTTTGTTTTTCTGTAAAGGTTATCTTTTTTCTTCAGGCAATCAAGCAAACTGCTAGATAGCCATGGGTTACGAGGAGCTGAGAACGGTTTTTTACAGTTCATTATTTCGGTAGAATCTGCAAGGGCATTGGAAATTATCTTTGAAAATGTATCGTAGGCAGTTTCAGGGTTATCGCACGCGATGACTGGGTTCCAGTCTGTAGCAGATATTAACTCAAAGAACTTTGTTGAATTGAGCTTCTTTCTGGTTAGGCCTGTGACAATAGCGCAAGGAGTGTAATTTAAACGCACAAATATTGGATAGTGATCGGTAACAGAGGCTTCGACAACGCCGCAGTCAGGGTTAGTAAGGAGATTTGATAAAACGTGGTCAATAAGTGTACCTTGTTTATTTGCGGGACATCGAGTTGGAAGCGTAACTAGGTTTTCATACCCAAAGCCATTTAGGCAGTTAACGTATTCATTGAACAGTGTGTTGGATGGATCTAGGAGGTTAATATTGATATCGCCCATGATAATGACATTTTTCTGCTCCAGTGATAATTTGTGCAACAAATTACCAAGGGCCGAGCAATAAGCACTTCCACATGATGACGGTGAACGATAGATGCAACCGACTATAAGGTTTTTTTTGTCCTGTGAAAAAAATGAATCGTGAAATTCAACCCAAACAGATTCGCAGTTAGCCACTTTGAGTGTCAAGTCAAGTCGTCTATGAAAGCGCAGTTCCGAGGACACGAAAACAGCCGCACCACCATGATTACTATTATCGCGGTGACAGTATTCAGCAGAGTATGAGGGGAAGGTATACAAGTGATTATGAGATGCGGAAAGCCACGTTTCGCTAATACAAATCACAGAAAACCTGTGACTAGTTGATGATAAGAAAGTTGTGATACCATCCATGTTTTTTTGCAGACTGCGTGCATTAAAATGAATTAGTGAACGGCAGGGCAAGGAAAAATAGGTCTGAAGTTCGTGAGGTCGAATGTACGAAGCCATTTCACGTAACTGAAAGATTGACTACTAGACTGATTGCAAAATGTTAGGCAATATTGCATAAATCAGAATCGGAAGCAATGCGAATTACCCGACTGTCGGGAGACTTCCGCACCTTAATCTGGCAATTTTCCGTCCAGATGAACTGCCATCCTTTTTCTTTCTTTAAGGCAAGTGCCCTAGAGAACAAGCGCTTATTGTCTGGTGATAGGTGCTCATTCACAAATATTGCCTGTGCGTTCTCTCCTGAATACCCTATACTTCGAGTGTTCAGCCGCGCCCTTCTGGCTTTCTTCATGAACTCGTTCTTTTTTTCACGAGAGCAAAACCGCACAATTATATTCCTTTGACCGGACTTTGCAGGTACACGATGTACCGTGTCGACATCGCTAGCCGAGACCTTACAGTTGATTTTGTCGCCAATGGCAGTCAGGATTGCGGAACAATCCTCTCCTTGGGTAGAGGGCACCCCTTTTATTTCCAAGTTATTTAACCTTGAGTACTGCTCGAGGTTGGCGACTTTACTTTGAAGGGCCTCATTTTCTGCTTTTAGAGCGCGATTTGCGGCAACGAGTGTAAATTTGAACGAGTGTACAAATTTTTTTCGTCATCAACCCCATTGAGTTTCTGTGCTAAATTCAGTAACTCAAAGCCACTCATAATCGTGCAGCACATTCCATCCTATCTAATTATTCATGTCTTTCCAGTGCCATATCTATGAAAAGCATTCTAAACTTGCCTAATCTTTCATTGCGCTGCAAACTGTCTAGTCTTGGCCTTTTTCAGAAAATCTATCATTATGACAGCCATTTGAAGGGTGCCCTTTTTTATTCACCTCACTTCATGTCACCAAGGACCGATCATCGCTTTAAAAGGTGAGCCTACCATCCTGTCGCATCAGACTGTGCAATGATTCATTTGTGCCAAGGACAAGCTCCGCCTGTAACCACCTTCCCACCTCCTTTGCCTTTATAAAGGACCAAAAAGACTACGAGCTCGCTGTAAATGATGCCCTGTAATTTTTTTGTTTTGCTGTTTATCTCTATTTTCTGTAACTGCACCTCCGATTGTTCACACCACTCATTTCTGTAGTGCATTCAGGCCTTGAAAGTACCTTTAATTAATAATTAAGTAAATAAACAGCAATGTCAACTTGACCTTTTTTTTTCCTTTTTATGTGGTATGTAAAAAAAAGACTAATAAAAGAAATAATCTGCGAGTCGGAACTGATTTCGCACTACCTTTAGTGCTCATTGAATGCTTCATGTTCGGACGTCGTCCCCTTAATGTAAAAACATCGCATTCAAATGCTATCTCTTGATCAAACAGGAAAAAGTGAAATCAGTGACATCAAGGCATCGGTGGCAAAATTGGATGCCGCATGACATGAGTCAGATTGAGCATAATGGTATGTAAACAGACACTTTGATGCACTTCCCCAGCCTTTACAAAAATCCATCAACAGAAATAGTAACACTTTCAACTATACAAAATATTTCAAGCATACAAGCTTCACTACATTTTTGCTTTTCTATATCATAACACATTAAGCACTATAAAAATACTGCAACATACCTTTCCCTTTGCATTCCCTGTGTAGATATGGCCTCCTCTTCGGTCAAACGAAGCAACAATGTTCAGGTCGGACTGAAAATTACCAGAAGCGAAATAGAGCAATAAGAAAACATCAAATGATAGTGAGAATGTGGTTCGAAATTGTGAAAACACAATAACTACCTCATCGTCGAGGGGAATTGTGGAATGTGCTCCATCTACGTTGACCAGCACGGCAGCATGCTTGATTGGGCAGACAAGAAATGCTTTGCTGGAAGAGACGCAGACACTGCCTCTAATGACCATGATTACCCAGCAAGCACTGACAGCAAAGCAATGATTTTTCAAGGAACCATCTCATAATTCTTGATAGGGGAAAAAAATTAAAATTCTGTTAGAGTGAGGTGTCAATTTAATTCTCAGAGAATTCATGATGACTGCTTTACAAGAAATGTCGCTTTGAAAAGCCCATGCGTTCTGTGAGACTACTGGAGCCCATCAATGCCACAAAAACAGGGCAGCATAATCACTATGCTAGCCGAGCAGCAGCTACTTGAATCCAACTAACACATGCAATCGGTGACCTTTCCGTGTATCAGGGCTGGATGACAGAGCCGAGTTCCAAACAAGGCGAGGGTAAGCACATGCCCACAAAGTGCGCTCAGCTGGCCCCCGTTGTCTGCCAGCCAGTACCTTCTTCAGGGCATCACCCCGTAGCGGCACGCAACAGGCAAACCATGTTTTAGGGGCGAAGCTCCTTAGGGCGTGGGCTGTGCGTCCCCTGTAGCCTGTATGTAGCCACCTCTAGTTTAGTTCTTGCAGTGTTCACTAGATGGCGGTACCGTCCCCTGTATGTAGCCACCTCTAGTTTAGTTCTTGCAGTGTTCACTAGATGGCGGTACCGTCTCCTGTATGTAGCCACCTCTCGTTTAGTTCTTGTAGTGTTTACTAGATGGTGGTACTTGTAGCTGATGATGAAAAGATGCAAGATGTTATAAACTAGAAAGCGGTACTTGTAGTTGATGAAAGACGCGAGATCTTATAAAATAGGAATGATGTCACATATGGCGCGTGTCATTGGTTGAAGGCAATCGTTCGATTTAGTGCGGCGACGTACGCTAGGGGGAGCGTTGTAATAAAATCCGTTCGCTGTTGGCGCGCGCTTGGAGTCGCCGGATGGATAAGGCTGCACAGCGGAGAGAGCGCAAGGCGGCAGCAGCGCGCGCTCGCAGACAGAATCCCGATGTGCGAGCGCGCGAGGCAGAAGCGCTCCGTGAAGCTGCGCGCCGCCGCCGCCAAGATCCTGCCGTACGTGAAAAAGAGGCTGCAGCGGCGCGACGCCGCCACCAAGATCCTGCCGTACGTGAAAGAGAGCCAAGATCCTGCCGTACGTGAAAAAGAGGCCGCAGCGGCACGGCTGCGGCGTGAAAAGGACCTGCCGAACGCCACAGAACGGGAAGCGGCGAGAAAGCGTGCGCATCGACAGGCGAACCGATTGACAGCCGACAGCCGTCGTAATGAAGGGACATCGCAAGCCATCCATCGTCTAAGAACAAATAAAAGTTGATTTGTGTATATACACACACAGCGTTTCTCATGTCTTTACATGATGATCGACTGGGCGAATTACACGGAAGATTCACAGTTTACCGATGAATCCCTCCGGAGCTTCGCCCATTCATCATCATTCACCCCGTGAATATGCCGTAATTTTTTAGCTTATCACACAAGTGGAGTATCATTAAATTTTGTTTCATCGATTGCTTGCTACAACACTCACCTTTAGAAGGTAAACTAGAAGCAGAACTATTCACCTATTAACACTGCTTGTTTGTATGAAGGGATGGGGTGATGTGCTCCATATGTGACAGACTGGCAGACGCGGAGCTGAGCTGAGCTAACTTCACGGGCATGCTCTCACAGCGCGGCGCTGTTATATGGCGACGACATGCCAGAAAGTGGCCATTTATGCATGACAGTTAAAGGGGTCATGACATCGGCATCCAACAATTTATGGTTTTCGACGAAAAACGGAGGTATAGGGCCAAATATGCTTGTACAAGTGTGAAAACTGGATGGTAAACTTCGCCCACCACTGGCGACCGCCAATTTGCCATGGCGTGCATGACGTCACAACCCATAAGAAGCAGTGCCATCGTCTGCTACCAAACAGCACCTTCCACGTGCCGTCAGTATGTCTTGCAAGTGTTGCTTGCTGCGTGGTCCGCAAGTGTCGCAGCGTGTTACCGACACCATCGCCTTGACATCAGCCCCATCATCACCTAATGATTGGGGCAGTGGTTCATCGAGCAGCAGAAGCGGCAACTTCGTGTGTGTTGCACATATTGACTTCAACCCAATTGCCACCAACTTAAGCGACGAAAAAAGCATCAAAGACGGGGCGAACCCACGTGCCAACAACATCGGCGTTGTGGCAGGCTTTGCAGACGGCCTTCCGCAATGTTGAATAGATTTATTTCAAGCGTGCCAGGTTGACAAGCGAGCTTGGGATACGGGCAACTGTCGACGCTGCAATCGCAAGCAAGTGCTACTACGCACAGTGGAACTAGCAGGGCGTGCACATTTTTCTTTACAAGCACACGTGCATGCATGGCTTTCGGTGCTGAACATAATAAATAAGTGATCGTAAGAATGTTGCATGTTGGGACCATTGTTTTTCCATCGGTTTGTTGCATGTAGCATATGTATACATTAGCCGAAGCAAATGGCATGTCAGCGTGGCGCTAGGGTTACTCACAATGTACATTTTGGTCGAATGTTTGCTTGAACTCTGTTGATTGCACTCGGTTTCAGTAAAAAATAGCAAGTGTCACACTTAAGCACGGTACTGCCTGCGAGGAGCTTCAATAAATATTTATCCTTAGTGGCAAACGGCATGCACACTGCACATTCACAGGACACTTTTGACTTCAGACAGATTGACAAAAATTGTTTGCTCCAAGCATTGAGTTTCCTAAATACACACTATAAGGAACTCTGGCACTAGTGTCTATGAGAGCTGCAATGCATGACGCTTCAGGGAGCATGGGAATTATGGGTATGACATGGATTTGCCTAGTCTTCGTACTTTACGTTTGTTCAGGTTTCGCGTGGCTTGAAGCTGCTTGGTCACGAAACAACAATCGGCACATTTTTGGCAGTTACGCTTCACCACCTTATTCTTTTAGGCTTACAACTTCAAATCGGGTCATGAAGCGAAAAGTGGTCTGTTCTTTCCTTCGAAACGAAACCAAAAAACACAGGAATAAACGAAGCCACAAGTGCCTTCGCCTTCCACTCACGAAGACTGGGCAAATCTATGTCATACCCATAATTCCCACAGTGGCTGAACGATCACAGCGCCACAGTCCCCTCTAGTTAATTTTAGGAAACTCTATGGCTGGATGTACCAGCGCTACATGGGCGAAGCGGTGGCATTGTTTCAACTACTGGGAGTCATATAGTTCCAGTGCCAAACTTAACAATGCAGAAAAAGCTCGATTGCAAGCCCAGTTGGTCACGGAACACGATTAGCCTCCAGAATGCAGACCACACAGCAGCTCGCCCAGCAAGCGGCTCATTACGCTGCGGCTAGCAAGTATGCCAGTGCTGCCGGGCTCTCAGCCCCCCCCCCCCTCGCTCGTTTACAAAAGTATTCAATTTTAAGTTAGCAGCACAACCACATGTGCTGAAATTTCGCTGGCTTGTCTTTGAACATACATGGATTGACCCACAGAACACAGATTTTGATAGAAAATAGTGAGTCATGGTTACTTTAAAAGATTTTGGTGGCTGGACACATGCCATCGATGCTTTGTACAGGGGTGGAACAGGATACATGGGTTTGGGAGCAGTCCTGGGAGCAGGCAAAAGCGCTTTTTGTATAGCAGGCTTGGAGCAGCCATAAGAGCCTTTTCGAGCAAGTTTAGAGCAGCAAGAATATTCACAGCAGATGTAGCACATTCGCAGCACTTGTGAAGCAACACCTGTTCAATAGTTTCAGCTCTTCAAGCTCCCCAAGGAGCTTGAAGACCCAAGAAATTTACGAGTGGCAAGGGTGCATGTGCAAAACCCAAGGCGCTCATGGGCTCTCGCACTCGTGTTGTTCCAAGACCCAAATATCGAAAACTAGCGTGGATCTTAAAGCTTTTGGTTTGGCAGCAAAACGATGCAGACGCAGCATTGTCCACCAGGCAATATAGGCTGCACTTTGCATAATTTGAATTTTTATTTCATCGCTTGTGGTGTCCCGTGCGTTTGAGCTAACGCAGCTTGCATTTGACCCAATTGTCAAACTCTGCTGATCCTACGAACGCAAGAGCGACCCCCCAACCTAGCTTGGGGACCCAGTTCTCAAACTCTCTAATACTGCACTTTTCAAACACTGCGCTAGATTGTGCAATAGTCTCATTATTGCGATAGAAATTATATGGACACTCCTGGCGGGTTTCGCTTTGGCCATTGCCACCATGTCGCGTATAAATGGAAAATTGATAGCCTACCCCTGCACATCGTATATTCTACCTGCGGGTAAAAGCGCAAAAGCAAGGGCAACGCGGTTGAAGTAAAGACCCTGGGTACTTTTTTTGGAAACTACCATCTATCTTTCAACCGAGCCGCCCTGCCTCGCAACCCCTCCTCCCACGCCTCTTGGGCCGCCAGTCAACAAAGGTCACGAACATTGCACATGTTATTAGCGTGACAGGAGTTCTTGATACGAAATTAGCGCGAGCCAAGTTATACGGTCGGTGTTTAAACTAAGAATAACAAAGGTGAAATAACAATTACACAACAATCACGAAGTACCACCACCATACTGCGGCGTGTGCATTTACTCAACTTCCTCCTGTGGGAAGATGCGGACATCATTTTATAGTTATGTACAGCTGCCCATGAACTTCTTTTTATTGCAATAGCAATTATATGAACACTCTCGGCTGGATTTTGGCGCCGGAGTTGAAGTCGGCGTCACCATCACTCACCGTATGTGTCTACACATTTATATACATGAAAATGCAAGACAGAAAAAAAATCACAGTACATCCACGGAGTGAATGATGATGAGTGGGAGAATCGTCCGTCAGCCCGTCTGCGCTTCCGTCCGTCAGTGTGTCCATCCATGCATCCATCCATCCGTCCTTGCCAGAGTCTGTCTATCCATTCGTGCATCCATCCGTCCATCCCTCTGCTAGTCTGTCTGTCCGTCCGTGCGTCCATCTAGTGAGCACTCCAAGTATTGCCATCTCCCATTCCCTGCGGCACATACTCGCTCTAGAGTGGGTATGTGCCACCGATGGCTACTTACTACTACTACATACATCCGAGGATGTACAGACCCACGCCTTAAGGAGCTTCGGCCCTAAAATCCAGAAATATACTTCGGCACGCGAAATTGAACTTGGGTCCTTTGAATCGTGAGTGCAAGACAACCACGGAGCAACCGAGGAGTACATCCTTCAATGTTCAAACGGCAGCTACCTAATCTATTACTTACCGCTGCTGACGGGCATTTTAGGGAAATGAATCTATCATGTTTTCAGCATTACCAGCAAGATGGTATAATGAGCGCACGTAGCAACATCGTCACAACATGATGGCCGCGCTCTTATTTTCCTCGTGCACTTTGCCCGGCAAAGAGCAAGGGGTCGACGCTCACTCGCGCGCTCGTATCTCGCAGTAGGGAGGATCATAGGTGTTGGCTGGCGTTCGGCTGTTACCGGAACGATTCTGTTTCAGTTACCAGGTGCACAAACTTCACTGCAATCGTTGCACAGTCTACGTTTGCGAAAAGAGCAAGCTTTTTAAACACAGCAAAGCAACAACTGAGACACTTATTCGAGTTTCTCTGTACCTAATAGTGTGTTTCGTGTGTCTATTGTGCATGAGAATGCACGTGGCATATTTCGATCTGCTGACCATTCTGCGCGTGACATTCTAATTTGTTGCTATTGCATACATTGCTTTGCCTTTACAGCAAACGTGTAACTTTTTTACTTGAACGCTCGAGTGTCAACTACAGAGTCGATAAGCGCGAAGCACAGTGGCCATATGAACGAGAATACGCACATGCCCTCAATGAGCAATCACGTGCACCAGTTGCCGCACGGCTGTTCAGGAATCTGACACCACCCCCTTATTTTGAGCACTGTTAGTGCCATGCCTTTTTTTTTTTCTTTTCCTAAATGCGGCTATGGCTGGCAGTCAACTCTTATAGATAAGATATCATGTAACTCTACAAAACGCTGTTGTAAGAGAATACAGCTGTTCCAAAGAGAGGCATTCCTTCTCGTAGTCTCTTCGCGTTAAAGGGACCCTGCAACACTTCTTGAGCACAGTCAGAAAACACTGCCAATCGGTAGTAGAGGCTCTCGACAACACGCGAGCCAAATATTATAGTGCAGCATGTGGCCTATAATTCCCAATAAATTATCAAAGTCAGCTAATAATTAGTTTCTCTTTTCTCGACAAATGACGAAAGATGCTAAAAAATTACTCGTAGAAAGCCAATCAATGAGCCATTGGCTGATTTGAACATGGCCGACCAGGTCATTACAGAGATCACAGTGGGAGGACGCAACTTGTCTACTCGTGTGCGCGCGATCACACCGAAAAAGCTGCGCATTCCAACAACAACACCAACAAAAAACAGCTCAAGGTCACGAGGCACGCACATTTTCTTTGCACTTTCCATCCCTTCCTGCTTAGCTTCCAGCGCTTTTGTCCGGACGAGAAAAGTTAGATTGCAATTGCAGCATGTGAAAAATCTTTGTGACTCCACTCGCACTGGACGGATTCTTAAAATTTTTGCGGCGCTGAATTCGAGAGGCAATAAGCTCTTCTAGTGAATTTATTCTATGGTGTCTTGAAAAAGCATTTCAGGGCCCCTTTAAGACCGCAGCACATAGAAGGGTTCACGAGCCATTCGCGCTGATGCCTGCTGAGATCGTGCGCCAATAGCGGTCGGTCGCAAGAACGCCCGAGATCAAAATTCACAGTTGCTCCTGGAGCCTTTACGAACCTTTACGAAACCTACACTATGACCATTTTGATCAAACCAATAAGGAGATGCTTCAGCCATGTTTCTGGGCATGGCGCTTGATGGCTGTCACATTCTACGGCTATATTCTGGTGCTGTGGCACATTACGGCGCTGATAGGCGAGTTCGACGCAGGATAGTGCAGCTGTTCCACCCCTGCTTGTAACATCAGCATGAGCCTAAAAGAGCATGTGATGTGAGGTTTCCTATCCATGTAAGTGTGTGAGTAATCATTTTTCCAGCATCTCATGCACCTCTAACGAATTACTATTGACTGTTTTATGGATAAGAAAAGACGTCGGAATACTTTACCTGTTTGCTTGGCACCTGAATGGCCACTCTAATGACATGCTTATACTAAAGATGCCATGCACATCGAAAATATATTTATTTAGCACCATCCAGCTTAAACGTGAAACTGAAAACTGTATTGTGTATCCAAGAACTGATGCCCTTCTGCTATGGTCTCGTATGAGACTGGCAGTATCGAAAATAAATAAATAATAAATAAAATCTGATAGTAACCTGGTGGGAAATGCGTGGCCGGAAAGCTGTCAATAAGTTCTCATGGCTGGTAGAGGTAAAGAGAGATTAGCCACAAAAGATCAAAGCAAGCATACTCACTCATTTCTGGGATGAAATTGAACTTTTAATATAGGAGATGGAAACCTATATTTTTGGTCACATTCACCGCTCAAGACATCCCAAATACACACACTGTTGTCTGTCGATGCACTGAGAAGCTTGTGGCCATTTCGACTGAAGCTGAAAATACAAATTGTAATCATCAACACCAGCTTACCTCAAGTACAGAGTAGGTCAGAAACACTTTTTAAACATCTTCGATTAATGGTCGCCTGTAATCAAAATGTGCTGTATGCACGTAAACGTAACAATTTCATAACTTCACCTGATTTGCTGCCTTTGTTCCCTTACCCCCTTTGGCAGCCATTACTGGAAGTACTACAAGAAATAATGATGTCAAATGCTCTTTCTTGAACCCAACATACGTAGAAGAATAGTTTCTATTCAATTGAGAGCTGTGCCAAAATCGAACCACCTGATTTATAGGGTTTTCAAACCTAAGAAGAAGCGACCCATTAGGAAACCTCAGTAGACGAACAGGGGCCAGCTTTAACCACCTCTTTTTTACACTGAAACCACGTAGTCTTTAGATCAAGGAGTACTGGTGTCACAAGATTTAGTGAGGCAACCACTCCCACAGAATCACGGTGTTGTCTAAGAGCACACAGACACATTATTATGGCAGACGCCATGAATATAATGTCAGAGTTCATTATATTTCTGCAGTTCAGTGTCTGCCATTGTGTTTGTATTCACCTTTAAAGATCCCTCACTTAGTGATACCACTAAGGTCTTTCGATTAGAAGCAATTTTCGGAGCAGGAAAAATTTCATATTGGAGCACTTTGGAGCTGCAAAATTTTCCATTTTCGCGCAATCTGGAGTAGCTAACTTCGAATACTGGAGGACAAGCAAGCTGCACTTACATTTAACGACGTGAAAAATTATTCTGAGGCTCTTGTCAGAGCTAGAAAAATTCAGGTTCATTGCAAATTTCACAGAGCCAATCATATTAGAAGCACTTCCTATTTCAGTTGATGATGCTAAAATAATGGCATTATGCTGTTGAGCATTCTGGAAAAACTTGTTCAGTGATTATTTTTCTAAGCAAATAAACAAAATACTGGTTGAATAAAATTGTACTTCATGAGGTAACAATATAAATACACCTATGTGGTTACTAGCAGATATGGTAGACTAAGCTGTGACGTACAACGCTAGTGACTCACACAGTCCCAAGTGCATTTCCCTAAGATGACTTTAAGAATAAAGAAAAGGTTCTTTTTCTTCCCGATTGATTAGAATACTGGGCGTAATACGACATCATTCAGCTAGTCTCAGAAAGCCGACCTCCTTCCGAACACTCATCTCTGTGCTGAAACTACACAATTTAACAAACTTCATTTTCCTTTTGCAGCAATATTTTATGTGGCTAGGGAATTCTGTCTATACTCTAAAACCCCCCTACCGTGTCCTCTAGAAAGCAGTGCATAAAAAAAACTCACAGGGTACCTTATGCATACACCTAAGACAACTCGAAGGCAAGATCCATTTTGTTTTTATTAGGATAGCAATTATATGGACATTCACGACTGGTTTTTTCCATTGCCAAAGGTGTAGCCAGAATATTTTAAAAAATGGGCGGGGGTGCACTCTTGATCTGAAGGGGGGGTAGGCAGGCAAAGGTTATTTTGCGCTATATATGCCATGGAGAAAAAAATTTTGAAGGAGAGGGGGAAGCACATTGCCTGATTTTTATTCCCCCTCCTGGCTACGCCACTGGCCGTCATGTTTTGTGTAATGTCCCAATCGATAACATCCCCCGGCGCATCGTGTTTTACATGTAGGTAGAAGTGTGCGAGCGGAGGCGGCGAACGCGACTAATGCAGAGATATGAAGAGCTGATCTATCTTCTTTGCATTGAGGGCGGATGCGATAATCCCCCGCATGCCAGGCGTCCCATCGATTGTTACTCAAGCAGAGAGGAACGCCGCGTCGCCCGTATCCAAGGCACAGGAAGGATCAAGCTAGGTACGGCGAAGGGAGGGGGGGGGGGGCATTGTTTTGAGCTATGACTTTGAAGGTGTAGTCACTGACACACGCACTATTTACGACTGGCATACGCTTCTACCTTCTACTCTCAGCGCGAACACACTATGTAAGAAGTACTTTGCTTTTTAGAGCGGCCATATCAGGGTATGCACTGAGCCTTGAACGCAAGGCGGCCCCACCATCATGGCGCCATTTCGGAGGTCCATTCGTACCCGACGTTCGTGCAGTACAGATAGAATCATACTGGTCTAGAACAGCGAAACGCATGCCTGTTGACACTGTTGCTAGCGGACGGCTTCTATCTAGTGTTAGCTACAAGTTTCCATTGATGCTTACATTACAGCACAAAGGCCTAACACGCAGTGCGACCATGTTTGGTAGCACTACGGTGTCTCTTGTTACATATTTCTGAAGAAAACGCCAGCTGGAGCGGCCGACTGAGCACTCTAGACAAGTCTGATTCCATCTGCACATGCATCGATGTGCAAGAGATGTTTCTGAGGTCTCTAGTCACCCAAATCGCGGATATCGAACACCGTGCCTGCAGCAAGTTTTTACGAGTGCTGCGGATTTTGGAAATGGCAACCCCGCCACTAGCGCTTCTCACTGGATGACGTCAAGCCTTATTATTTGGTATAACAATACAAATTGTTGGTATCGCATTCCCTAATAAAGGCACAAGTGAAACTAACAAATTGTATTTTATTTCAAATCCTATATCACGTAAATCAAAAAGCTGGCATCATCATGGAGAATTTAGGAAAAGGACTCAAAGCCATCGAGACCTCCTTAGGTTGGGCTCTACATAGACCAGCGCCCACTATCGCTACCGCCGTTCCTTGCAACGAGGTCATCATACTGAAAACAGAAGTGACAGACCGTAACACAATAACAGATTAATACGGGCACTTGGAAAGTCATGAGCATAGAATGCAAGGGCCTTAAAGAGACGCAAAATCAAAATCCAGAAGTAATTTCAGTCAAAGACGCGTCCGAAGCTGCGGTCAGAAGTCAACGAGACACCATGTGCCTCCATGAAAAGAGAGAAGTTAGCTTCGGCCCATTTATGCATTCTTGGCATGCGGTCTATTCAACCTCCAGAATTGCATCTCGAAAAACTGAAAGAAATATTCAAAGCCTTGACAATGATAATGCATCTTGACATCGATGTATTGTCATCAATTCATAGAAAAACGGCAGGATTCTTGAAGCAAAGAATGGCAAATAAATGGCACCAAACTTTCACGACACGGGTGGGCTCAAGGCCTAAACAACACTCTCACTGTGTTAAATTTTCAAGAAGCGTGTTGTCATGAGTCCTTCCTTGTTCGGTGGGCAAGACACAAATGACTTGCTTCTGAAGACCTTGAATGGCCTCACCACTCTACCGACTGTGTCACAGCTTGGCTACTACAACAAGCGCAAGCAGAAGAGTGCTTCTAAGGGAGCCTTGAATGCCGAAAAAATGAAAGACGGCGCAGGCATGCTTTCCTGGGAAATGAAAACAACATAAGGCCACAACCTAGCAGCCTCTTTACAATACGAGAAACGGAAACTATAGCTTCTTTGTATAGAGGAGCTCCACAGACTAGTTGGGTGGAGCTACCATGCAACTGGCCTTTTAGCATCTGTACCCGCTGGAATTGAACTTTTTGTGAAATCCTGCGTGCGGGGCCGTTTGTTGAAAAAAAAGATCGATGAAGAAGACGATCTCTTCTGGCCTTGAAATCACGCATTGCAGCAGCAACCCACGGAGTTGGGTGCGAGTTCATTGTCCATAAAAACTTTTTTCTACGCAACGGGAGGCTCGATTTTCTACACAAGCTATGCTGAATGTGCCCTCGAAAATCCTGTTGCATTTAGTCTATTACTGACCATGAAAGCTGCAACATTTGTGCAAACGCAAGGACTAGCAGTGTGCCTCATGAATATTTAGTTAGACGTGAGAGGATAAATGAGCGCTAGATTGTGATACAAAATTAGTTTCATTTTAAAGGGTGGCACCTGCAGGATGCGCAAAGCATGGGAACATGAGTGCATGCAAAACAGGCAGATTAGTCTTGCATCTTGCTGCAATATGCAGTAAAAATTAAAGAAGAAAACATGCAAATGTTCATTTTGTGAGTTTTAATATTGTTCCCAAGTTTTATTCAACTATATAAGCTACAAATTATGCAAGCTATACATGTCCTGTCAAATAACTGCTACCGTTGGCGATGTGAGAGCACAGGCATCTGCCTAGAGGAGCCACATCACAGCCCTACCAACTACCAAGGGACACTCGATTGTGTCCTCTTCCCCTCATTCCCTGGGAGTGAACCTGCGAGATGGGAAAGCAGCATTCAGCTTAAAATTTCGCCCATTTCTGCAGCATGTAGCATTGCAAATTTTTGGAGGACGTGATTGTAAATGCCCAGTCTATGCAATGTGCTCGTCATCTCAAAATTGCTAAACCTTGTGAGGGGTTTTTTAAAGGGCCACTGACCTAGGTTTGACAATTTTGAGCTGACAAGCACAATGCATAGATGAGGCGTATATGGTCACGTCTACCAAAATTTTCAGTACTAGGTGCCACGAAATTGGGTCAAATTTCAAGATGAACGCTGCTCCCCCCCTCCTTTTGGGGGGCTCGTGCCCAGAGAATGAGGGCATGACGTGCACATATGAATGGCCTTACATACACGGCAATGCAGTGACGTTGGTCCTTTACGTAGACGACTATGCTCTGACGTTGCCAACAGTGGCACGTGACACAGCAAAAATTATTTAACACGACATGCATAGTTTACATATTTGTTGCTTGAAAAGATTAATAAATCTCTAGATAAATAATGAGATGCAATAAGGGAATGTGAGCATCCTTTTTTTTAATTTTTTCCCCATAAATTGCAACGAGATGCGGGGCTCATGTGCAGGCGTTTCGCATGCGTTCATGTTTCTACGGCCGCGGTCAGCACATCGAGCAGACCACAGCCGTGGAACGCTCCTACGCGTTCGAACACTCGTTGTGCTCATCTATTCTACCGTGTCTAAGGCAGCGTTTCCAAACCATCCCGCAGAAACAAACAGTAGACCTCAAAACAACACTGGTCAACAGCAAAAAACAAAAAAATATATATGAGAAAAAAATGCTGCTCCCGTGCACAGGAGTTGGGACAATTTAGGTGACATTGGTTGGGCTTGTTCGGGCACGTCATGCGCATGTGACCTCTTGGTCGCATGCCGGAGAGGGTAGGGAAGAGATTTGGCTTGTGAAGGCTAAGTGAAGGAGCGGCAAGGGTTTCAAGCTCGCCTACTCTCATCCTGGTTTTGCGCCGCTTCAAAAAAAAAAACGGTTTTCGCAGCTCGTAATGAACCGCTTCAAAAAATTTTTGTGGCAAAATGTTCCTCATCGGACATCCAACAACTTCTACGATCTAACTAAAATTTGGTATGGAGCCTGGTGAGCGGCCCTTTAAGAAGAAACCTTTAACCACATATGGCGCTCACCTGCACAAAGGGTGTGACCACTGTGCGCACCGATGAGGCCCCACATTTCAGACACTTTGCAACATCTCGCGTTGTCGCATGAAACGCTGGGTTGGTGCCATTTTCAATTTATAATCGTATATAGTACCCATTACAGCGTACTTTTTGCAGAACCTTAGATTTTCCATCTCCCTTACATGACATAGCTCACGATGGCAACCACATGAAAGCAACCACAAAATCCTCCTTGTTTAGAGTGCCCCGTTGGCCGCTGCAATTTTCAGCAGAAATATGCAAAAAAATCGACACTGTAACAATAACATAGTCATACTGCACGCTAGGTCCTTATGCTTCACAATTTAAGCTCGAACAGAAGCTTGGAGCTCGTGTGAGGTAGCAGCTGCGGACAATAGTTAAAGCGTCTATAAATATATATATTTTTCAAAGTGCACCTAAACTTGAGTGCATAAAACTTATTGAATGGTCCCCCCTCTTAGAGTGCAACCATACCAGACTGAAACAAGAACATTTTTTTCATTCCTGAGCGGCACCTCAGGATTTCAAGAAAGACTTTTCACTTGCCATAAGGAGCACACTGGGTGCACGTGGGCACTGACAATTTTGGCTATACCACGAGTCAGGAAGTCCCAGATTACAAGCCGGCCATCATTGCAACCAACAGCCAAGAGAGTCCCACGTTTATTGAAAGCGCACGTGACTGCCAAGCTTATGCAGTCCAGAGCACCATCGAATTCCTGCAAAGAACGAGTAGCAATGAAGAGCCTGAATGCTTCAGACAACACCAAACAAAAGCTGAAAACAGACAAAATAGTGGAACGTAATTAAATTAAACTCTTGTGGCCCTGTGCCTTAACATGCCATGGTTAAACTAAAAAATTATACTTTCATAAGAAAGTACACATATTTACTTTATTATACAGATGAATGCAATCAAGAGCCATACATTCAAGAAGTTCACATCCAGGATATAACACCATTACACATCAATTCATGCAAACACATTATAGCCAGGAAATATGGCTATTGTTCAGCATGAATAAGTTATATGCGGCTACGTTTTGCAAAAATGCCTATGTTTTGGCAATAATACAACTCATGAGGCTAATAGACAGTCCGAGTGTCTCGCAGGCTTTCACGAAAACATGCCACTTTGTCTTGTTCTTTTCATGTGCTTCTAAATCATTAATTTCTTGTGACTCAAGCAAAATAAAAATAAGACAAACGATTCCAGAAATGCCACTGAATCAACTTGGCAGACATTAGTACTTCTGATAATTTTTAAATGAACCAAGGACATCATTAAATTTCACATGTTCCATAACGATTCACTATTTCAGAGGCAGAACGCTTGACATTAAAAGTGCCACTTGCCGCACACACCCTGAATAAGCACACAAGCCTTATGTTTAACTATCAAGTAACAGTTGAAACTACGTGAAAACTAGCTCTTAAGGACGCAAGCAACTTGCTGTTAACACAGGTCGGTCAATAGCTGCAAAACGGCGACTGCTTCAGTTCAGCGGGATGAGCAGCAGTATAAAATGCTAAGCAATTCGCTTGGGCGTTACACACCGCAGTCTAAGTTGCACAATTTATTAACAAAATAATTGTCATGACGCTAGAACGACAACGTAGGGTGAAGAGTCAATGTTTACGTATTAAGATGGCTATACCGGGAAACAACAGCTTCCCAAGCAAAAGCGTCTACGAGATTGCACTGCACATTTGTCACTCAAGAACGGATAATTGAGCTAAAAACACCGAGCAGGCCAAAATGATGAAACAGACCTCGGGGTAGTTCTGCCCGAAAGATTCTGGAAAGCAAAATAGAGAAAATAATAGGTTAGTGACTTAGAAGTGTGGCGCTTTGGGCTAGTTGGTATGACATGACGGTAGACATAGCACGAGAACAGAACGACGACAAAGGGACAAAGCACTCGTCGCCTTATTGTCTCTTTGTCCTCGTTTTGTTCTCGCGCTCTATCTACTTTAGAAGTGCGGCAGTTTCGGCTAGTTGGTATGACATGACGATAGTTATAATCGTTAGTGACTTGTCATACAAACACCACAGCACTAGCCTTTAGATGAAGTTTCGTGTACAATGCTTCTACTGGTGGTACAAAGATAAAACTTTTATGCGCTTATTCCCAAGACTCTCAGGCAGAGCAAAGCACAGCGAGAGATCGCAGAGCCATCGCAAAAAGTTAGCTGGACGCGTCAGAATGTCACGGTCGCCAAGTTTTCCTACAGTACTTACCTAATAACTCGAGGTTCATTTTGCCTTGACAGCGTATTTAGAACATACATTTACATCTTAAGCATTAAGGTGAAGAATAGCGCAATCCAATGTTACGTCTTTTGCAGGAAAACGCAAGAGTATCACATATACTTTGAAAACTTGATTTACTTCGACGCCATTTTTAGCGGCTTGACATGGCTTGGCTTGGTCCAGTTTGAATAAGGGTCCGTTCGATTCGCCTGCACTACGTGAACCAGTTCACGAGGTGCTGCACCTTACCATTCGTTTCAACGGTGCAGCAATGACGACTGCTGAACCCTGCCATTCGTTTCGAAAGGTGCGAAAGAGGTGCAGCACCGGTTCACAATTTTCCTGCACCTACTTTGCTGACGATGTCGGCTTGGTGCAGGCGCGCGTGCAGCTGAGCAGACGACGCAGCACTTAGACGTAGGTGGCTTAGGCACCGTACCCGCCTCTACAAATGCGGTGTGTTTTGCCAAGATGTTTGCTGCTCATAAACTGCCGCATGTGCGTTTCGCCATAGGTCGGTGTTTGCTGAATGGTGTAAATTAACCGAAAAGAAATAAGGCCAACACCTTGTCAGCACATCGTCATTTGTTTCGGGTGTCGTGCTGTGCCTGCACCGCTGAACTCACGCTGCACAATTTCTGAACTTCGCGTGCACAGCCATGAACCGGTTCCGACCGGTGCAGGTGAATCGAACGGACCTTAAATAGAGTCGTAGAGTCAGTGTTGATTTTTCACTTTACTTGCCTTGTAGGCTACAGCCATGCTTGCAGTATAAAAAAAAAAAAGCCAAATATTTCTTACATGCCTAATATTTCAGAATACTATGCAAATGCAGCCAGAAAATAAGCTTTGCTTTTTAACGTTCAAAAAGTCGTATGTCTTGAACTTCAAACTTGCGGAAAGCATGATAAAGGGCTGCCTGCGTTTAATAACACAACTAATACTTGTAATTTGAATGTAAACATTCAACAGATGTCTGTCTGGTTCAGTATGAAAACTGGGAAATGATTTAAACTTCAACCAAAAGTTTTTGAAAAAACCCGACGTTTCGGAACTGATTTGGTTTCTTCCTCAGAAGAAACTTGGTGTTCTGTGCGTGGACTACGTAGCAACGGCGTCTTAAAAGCACTCGCGGGGTGGTTGATGACCCCCCCCCCCCTCTCTCTCTCTCGTTTTGCCATAGAGCGCAGAGGACACAGCTAAGGGCACTAGCACATTGGTGAACAATCACACACGTGGAACGATGTCGAACGAGACCAGGCTATGGTGGCTAGATGGAGAGGTGTCAGCATCATCCCGGCCGCGTCTAGAAGTGTGGCAGCTTGGGCTAGTTGGCATGGCATGACGATAGTTATAGCGCGAAAACAAAACGACGACACATAGCTCGTGCCCTTCGTGTCCTTCTTGTCTCTGTGCCGTCGTTTTGTTCTCGCGCTATAACTATCGTCGCGTCTTGAAAGGAGGCGTGCTGGTATTGCACTCGGCCGCAAAGCGGCGCGCAAATCGCCACCATGATTAAGGTATCTAGTTACCTTACACCATGATCGGTCGAGAGCGCTTGCCAGCCGCTAGCGCGGCACTTTTAGTCACTTGCTCGTGTGCTCGTTAGCCGCAACGTCTGCGCTTTGCCTATTTGGACTTGTTCGGGATAAATACGTGCCAATGTGACCATGCAACAGTGATGAGTAAACAGCAAAGACACTGCTTTGCACCTGGGTGCAATGCGTGATATGCTTCGGCCCGCAAACAAGGGGAGAAAGCGTCTCTCTTCTCTGCTCCCGCCGATAATGAACAGCGCAAGGCCTGGGAGCGTAAGATTCCTCATGCTGACAAACCACTGGAAAAGAACTTCGTTGTGTGTGATGCTAATTTCGTCGAAAGAATCATCGTCCGTAGCTACAAGCATGTTATCAATGGGTTCTTTGGAACTTGGGAAAAAGCTGTACCTAAGGAGGGTGGGTTCCCGAGTGAATCAACTGCCGAAGAACTCCACGTCACCCTTACTAGTTTGGCACAGTCACCCTCCAGTGGAAACATATCTTCTGGAGTTCCGAGTAGCCTTCTATGTCCTGGCATACACAATAATTCAATAAAATTGCAGGATAAGCTGGAAGAGCTGCTAGATGTGGGGCGCCTCAATGACGTTCATGAAATTATTATTGCTTGTGAAGCCCTCACGGACCACACTGATCTCAGTTGACGCAAAAGTGACTCCCTGATAATTTATTACGTCACTGGCTATGTGGCCTGCAAGATAGTGAAAAATAAGAAGTGCAACGAATGTAGCAGGTCGCTTCACTCAGAATTCCAGCTTGCTTCCGGCAGAATCATGCTTTCTCTGATTGATTGATTGATATGTGGGGTTTAACGTCCCAAAACCACTATATGATTATGAGAGACGCCGTAGTGGAGGGCTCCGGAAATTTCAACCACCTGGGGTTCTTTAACGTGCACCCAAATCTGAGCACACGGGCCTACAACATTTCCGCCTCCATCGGAAATGCAGCCACCGCAGCCGGGATTCGAACCCACGCCCTGCAATCATGCTTTCTCTACCCGTACGACTCCTCAACAGACCTGCTCAAAGCTATGGAAGGTGCATTCGCCTATTGCTTCATGTTTCAACAAGGTGAAAAGTGACAGCATAACAGACCTTATCTCTTGCCTGTCTGTGAAGAGGTTAAGTAGGGTCGGCTGTGAACACCACAAACTGGAAGTGACAAATCAGATAATTAGATTCTTTACACTGACCAGAATGCATTTTCTCGCTGCTGAAAAAAATACGTCGAATAAAAAAAAGAGAAAAAATAAAGTTCCTGAAGTTGACACGTATGAGTTAACTGTCATAGTGTTAACTCAGTGAACAATGTTTTTTTTATGGTATTGTGACTTACTCACACTCTGTTGTTTCTTGTGATTTTACTATTGTCTTGTTCACATTGTTACAAATCTCCCATTAACAACTATGATGTCACTGTCTGGCTGTGTTTCCCATATGCAGAAATAAATTTTTTTCGTGAACTGGTTTGTGACTGTACCTATGTTTGCCAATGAAATCTCAATGCCATGTGTGTATGTATGTCCATTGTATCATCGTATATTTACTGTTCTCTTTAGTTGCCTTATTCGCTTGATTTAGCTGAGTTTCATATATCTTGCAGCTTTCTTCAACCTTAGTGCATATCCTGTGTTTAGATTTCATGCTGTTTTTCACTCTCGAGAAAAAGAAAATGTCTTGCTTGTAAAATTAGATCTTCATTTCGCAAGTCATAAAAATAACGGTTGCCGATACCTTTACGTGCATTGAGACTTCACGGAGAACACTGTGGCATCAAATTTGAAAACTGCACGGACTTTGCTCTGGTGTCAAACCAAAATTGATTCTCTACCTTCTAAGCTTCGTAGCTGATATACTACGAAGTGAATTGAAAACACTAGTTTTCAGTGCCAATACACGCTTTGCAGAGCGCCGCCAGAATTTTGACAGGTAGACTCTGCTATAATCCACAGGGTAGCGTGAAATATTTGCAACGAAAAACGACTGATACGCGTGTGCGGTCGCGAGGAGGGCCATCTCGAAAGCGACCGCAGCGCCGCCGCATCCGGATGAATTCTCGCTCGCTCTCCGGCGCGCCGATGCTGACACCTCTCCCTCTAGCCACCATAACCAGGCTGTCGTCATCGTCGATGTAGAGAGGCTGGAACTTTTTAGCCTCAGTAGTCGATGCTCACCTCTGACTACAGTGGCTGGAATAGAGAAGCGTGATGAACGCGCCGGCTAGCGCGTAACGCGTTGGGAGGAAACCGCCACGTAGCGCTGGCACACGTTTGCACGTCACCCAAGCCGGCGATGCGCTGCGCAGTGACGGGATCAACCACGCGTGCGGGCAATGTGAAACATTCAAAATATATTTTGTTGTGCGTGCATGGCCTCAAACGGCGACCGAGAAAATATGTTAATTAGCTTTGGAATTACATGATGCATACGCGGGTGCGCTACTGAACTGAAACATCGATGGGGTGCCAAAAGGGAGCGCGTGACCGCACTGACACATTTTATCGATGTGAAGTGGTAGAAGAGTGGAACGATGAATTAAGTTGTGAGCCATTGCTAGCAACACCTTCCACAGCGAACCCTCATTTCCTCAAGCACTAATCTGTAAATAAAGCCGCATAATTCGTAACGTCAAACTCAGAGACGAGAATCATGAGTGTTATCTGGATAAAGGCCTTTTATTTTTTGCACACTGGTCATACAACAAATTTCCGAGTAGTGACTCACTATCTGTTTACAACAATGCATTCTTAATATTTGGTCATGTGTCTTTTTTATCCCCCCCCCCCCCAAAAAAAAAGTTTTGTAGTTCACAAGCGCCCCACAGAACACTGCTTCCCTTGGGCTGAGAGCCTAGGTAACGCGCCTGAGCCTCAGGTACTTCCTCTTTTCACGGGAAGATGCTCACTCCTTGTGGAGGGCCTTTGCGTAAAGAAGCAAATCCGTGAGCAGAAAAAAAAAAAAAACTTGTTCACTTGATTGGTGAGGCTTGACCATGTTGTGCGCTGCCCAGTGTGACATTTTTTTTTCAATCAGGAAACAAGCTCTTTCAAGCTGTCACTGTGAAGCCCGTTGTAGATAACCCACTTAAACAAAATGGTCTTTCAAGGGCGTCTACAAATGCGAAGAGCTTCCTCGAAAGGCCTACCTTTAGGCGTCTGCACGAGGGGGGAAAGGAAACGGGCGCCTTCCTAGTCATTTGGGAGGGGGGGGGGGGCGCTAAATTTGCTCTATACATTAACTAGGCGGCGGGGCACTGTTTAGTCATCTAAAAGGGGGGTGCAAAATCTGCCTGATACACTGAATTATTAGGGAGGGAGCACCCTGAAATAAACATTTTTCTCAGCCCCCCCCCCCCCCCCCCCCCTTGAATAGCGAGCACGCCTATGCAACTACCCGTTTAAATGCAGACAATTTCGCCGTTCACAGTGAGCTCGAAGTGCCGGGAGATGTACCTCTCGTCGAAGTGCAGCTCTCACACAGCCAAGCTTCGTTGAAGCAGCTTGTCAGCGCACGGGATCACTTTCCGCCACTGCGCAGAGCTTCGTCCTTTGGAACGCCGAACAACCTGTCTTGTAGCCTGTAGTGTACCCCGGAACAAAGCAATGACTT